ATTCTATTCTATATTCTATTCTATTCTATATTCTATTCTATATTCTATTCTATTCTATTATTTTGTTTTGATGAGCAAGCTGCATATGGAAGAGGAGAGGGACTTTGAAAAATTATCCTAATTTTTTGCAGATTCAATGTTGACAGTTATGACTTTTTTCAGCTTATAGTTACATTATATGAACTCATAATAAACATTATTTGGGGAACCCAGAAGTAGTACCTATTCCCGTGTGTAGATGGCGCACTCCGGTTTATACAGGAATCACGTGACGCTGTAGCAGCCAATCAGATTACATGACAGGGAGGCGCAGGCTTCCGGCCCGTTAAACGTCAACAACAGAGTGAAAGACGAAGAGGAGAAGCGTTTACTCTCAGCGGCTGTTATGTTTTACCCTTCTACGATTCCGCAATAATATCCGGTACGTTGTTGTTTAGATTTCTAATGTAATGTTTTTAGGGTACTTTACAGATTGACCCATTAGTTTTTGTAAAGGAACATTTTAGGGTCAGCCGGGTGGTCGCGTTAGCTGTCGGTGCAGCTAACGCTAGCATAGCATAGCATAGCATAGCATAGCTACCCCGGCCGGTGGAAACTGGTCCAACAAATCTAATTTAAAGTAGATAATTTTGAGCTAAATATCTTTTATTCACACAACCAAAATCTACCCATTATATATTGCAGCGTTACTGTTTCCAATGGACTCAAATTTTCTTTGTTTTCATTATTATAACAATTATATTTACCTTATTGCATGTAATCTTTTCCATGTGAAAAAAATAGGCTAAAAAAATGAAAAATATATATATTTTAGTTGGAAATGTACGCATGATAACATGGTATCCTTTTAAATGAGTGTCTGGAGTAGTAAAGCGATTGTCATACATCTAAGAATGACAAGTTCAGCTTCCTCATTAGGCGAAATATATACAAATATATTTTCTTGATAAAATAAAGTACAGCCTTTCCTGTCCTTGTCCCATCAACTTTGATTTCTAATG